CTACTACTACTACTACTACTACTAATACTACCACCACTACTACTACTGCCGCTACTATTACTATGACTATTGTAGTTTAAAAGTAAACTCCTGTGCACTAGAACGGTTGCCTTGACGACGATGAATGGTTGGGAGAAGTCGATGGCTTGCTTTCGCTGCTCAGTTACGTACAGCGGAGCAGCAGCTATGTCTGCTCTCTGTCAAGTATGGAGGAAATTAAATAATTAATTAATTAGGTGATTAATTAGTTGATTAAGTAATTAATTTGTTAGGTAATTAGTTGGGTGATTTGTTGGTTGATTTATTCGTTCATTCGTTCAATCGTTCGTTCGATCTTTCGTTATTTCGTTTGTTCGCTCCTTCGTTCAATCATTTATATATTCATTCACTCATCCATCCATCCATCCACCCATCCATCCATTCATCCATTCATCCGTCCATCCATTCATCTGTCCATCCATTCATCCGTCTATCTATTATGTTTTGAAACAATTGTCCGATTTTTTTTTAAAAAAGGTGATTAAAATTTCAATTTCAATATTTTCAATAAAGTTCAATTTTAATAAAATTTCTTTTTTTTCCTATGTTAGCCCGCGTACGATGTAGTATATTTCATTTATTGACATTGTTATTATTATTGTAATCAATAATAATAATAATAATATTAATATTATTATTATTATTATTGATATTATTATTATCCTCGTCTCCATGCAACGTTCGACTTATTTAACGCCAGCTCAAAAGCGCATCAAATTTTGAATTGTGAAACAAAAAGTTATTATATTTTAGTATTTTTGCTGCTACTACCACCACTACTACTACTGTGGCTGCCACTACTACTACTACTACTGTGGCTACCACTACTACTACTAATGTGGCTACCACTACTACTACTAATGTGGCTACCACTACTACTACTACTGTGGCTACCACTACTACTACTACTGTGGCTACCACTACTACTACTGTGGCTACCACTACTACTACTACTGTGGCTACCACTACTACTACTACTGTGGCTACCACTACTACTACTACTGTGGCTACCACTACTACTACTAATGTGGCTACCACTACTACTACTACTGTGACTACCACTACTACTACTGCTGCCACTACTACTACTGCTGCTACTACTGTTACTGCTACTGTTGCCACTACTACTACTTCGGCTACTGCTATTTTTTCTACTTATGCTGCTGCTCTGGCTGACACTATTACTGCTACTGCTATTTCTTCTACTAATACTGCAACTACTACTATAATACTACTTTTTATTACTAATTTGTTTCAATGAAGATGGGATTTTTTTGGATTTTTTTTTTTTACTTGCATGCCAGAGGATGGAAGGCGCGTGTCAGTGTTTCTGTGAAAAGTGAATTTAATAAAAATTGCATTATTATGATAAAATTTTTTTATTCATTTATTTGATCATCTGTTCGTTCATTCATTTGTTCGTTTGTTTGTCCATTCATTTGTTCATTCGTTTGTTTGTTTATAATTTGCTTATTGTATTTGTATATTTTTTGATTTAATTGTTATTTGTTTGTCTATACTTTTACTCTTTTCCTTCATTTAATTCATTCATTCTATCATCAAGTTTAATTTTTATTAATTGATTAATTAATTAATTCATTCATTCATTCGTTTTTCAATTCACTCACTCGTTCCACTAATTCCCCAACAAGCCCACTCCAACTTCCATCGAATCTCTGCTGTCCGTATTCTCCGTCGGTTGGGTTATCAATGTTGAATTTCAACTGCAAAATGCCACAAATCTTCTCAACGAGATCAACTATATAGCCACAATACTTAATGTTGTTGCTGTTGTTGTTGTTGATGTTGTTGTTATCGTTGTTGATGTCGTTGTCGTGGTAGTCATGTGGTTGTTGTTGCTGCTGTTGCTGTTGTTGATGATGTTGTTGATGTTGATGATGTTGGTGATGTTCATGTTGTTGATGATGTTGTTGTTGTTGACGATGTTGTTTTTGATGTAATTTAGCCGGAAGTATGTTGTTGTCTTGGTCGCAGAGCATGACGTAAGGTTCCACCTTAACATGCGAAA